TTTGATTACAAATCTACACATGTTTCCAAACTGAATAATGTAATAGTTATTTATGTCTGTAGGTTTTTAGGTTTGACCAAATTTTGTCTTAAACGACATGTTTTTGTGACCGGAGGTAGTATATTCTTAGGGCTCTGTGGGCTCTTCAGAACTATATAGAGTAAGTTGAGGGGCTCAAAACAGTCAAAACTTGCTGGAAGTGTCAGAAGTTGAAGCTCTTCCTCCCATTTTGTGTGTTGACCTTTGTGCTCAAAAAGTGGTGGTCATAGGAGTACCCTTTTTGCTTGATTTTTTATATTTCTAACGTAGTCTTTTACTGTGGTGTGCATTTTCTGTGTGTTATTCTGAATGTATGGAACATCTGCAGATTGTTACTGCATGGGATATTCGTAAGTACAGCTCAAAGAGGACAATACCGACATATGAAATGATAGAAGCTGTTTTCTTCATTGGATCAGGAAGTGAGCTCTTGGCTTGTTTGGGCATAGAACTGGCAAATATAAAGGAGAAAGCGGCCGGTTATTTTCTTACAGTTGGTGAACGTGGGGTCGTGCGCATCTGGTGCTTGGAGAGGTACATTAGTTTGCATTTACATCCTCTTTGGTTCTTTGCATATTTCTGTAGTACATGCAATCAATGGCTTTTCTGGTCTTCTACAGTTCTCTTTGCGTGTTCGAGCAGCAAACATCTGATGTAACTGTTAACTCAGAGAACGAGGAAACCAGGAGGGGCTTTACATCTGCTGTTATGTTGCCAAATGATCAAGGATTACTATGTGTTACTGCTGATCAGCAGTTTTTGTTCTATTGTCCCAAAAGAACTGATGATGGGACCTTTGAACTGTCCCTATATAGACGACTAATAGGTTATAATGATGAGATTCTTGACTTGAAGTTTGTTGGGGAGGAGGAACAATATCTTGCTGTAGCTACCAACTTGGAGCAGGTGAGCTATTCATAAATGATGTCTGCACAGTTCTTGTTGGCTAATGTACTTGAAACTTATCAACTGTTACCTCCATATTCAGGTCCGTGTTTATGATGTTGCGTCGATGTCATGTTCTTATGTACTTGCTGGCCACACCGAAATAGTTGTTTGCATTGACACCTGTGTCTCTGCTTCCGGGAAGACACTTGTTGTAACTGGGAGCAAGGATAATACTGTAAGTTGTGATGTCTGGAACTGAAAACTATGTTGACTTACCCTAACGTTTTTGTTTGTGGTTTCTTTTGATAATCCTCACTGCTGTCGAGTGCATTCTTGTGCTGCTTTTCCTATTTTTTGAGTGTGACCTTTTGTACACAGGTGAGGTTATGGGATGCTGAAAGAAAAAGCTGTATTGGCATTGGCAAAGGCCATCTGGGAGCTGTTGGTTCTGTTGCCTTCTCAAAGAAAACAAAGAACTTTTTTGTTAGTGGCAGCAGGTTTGCTCTTCAGTTTGTATGTAATCTTTGTTTGCCTGAAGTGACACCAAAATTGTTATTCTGAAATCAGACTATCTTTTTGTTAGCGATCGAACCATCAAGGTATGGACCTGGGACGATACACTTAGTGATGCTGAAGATGAAGTCCCTCTTAAAGCTAAGGCTGTTGTAGCTGCACATGATAAAGATATTAATTCTCTGGCAGTTTCACCTAATGATGGCCTTGTTTGCAGTGGTTCTGAGGTAAGATGGTAGCATGATACTCCATTCCAAATTATAGGTCACTTGGTTTTGTCCTAAGTCAAACTTCTCTAACTTTGAGCATGTTTATTGAAAAATTCACTATATCTACAACATTAAAATAGTTTCATCAAATCCACCATAAAATATATCTTGATACTTTTTTTGGTATTATATATGCTAACATATTTTTTTTCTAAAAACTTGGTCAGAATTTATAAATTTGGCTTAGGACGGAGCTAAAATGACCTACAATTTGGAAAGGAGGGTGTAGTTCTTTTTGATGTGACACATCCTTTTATCTAGCTTACATCATGTGGTTTTCATTATATATTATCACCTTTATTTTGTAGGACCGAACTGCTTGCATATGGAAACTCCCTAACCTAGTGTCCTCTATTGTCCTTAAGGGACACAAAAGAGGAATCTGGTCAGTTGAGTTTTCTCCTGTTGAACAATGTGTCTTGACATCCTCTGGTGATAGAACAATCAAAATATGGTCCGTTGCTGATGGCTCATGCTTGAAGACATTTGAGGGTCATACATCAAGTGTTCTGCGAGCTTCTTTCCTTTCACATGGAACTCAAGTTGTTTCTTGCGGTAATAGAAAATAAGATGTTCATCTAAGTTATTATCTTTAGAAGGGCGGGCCTGGTGCTAGCAGTAGAGTCTTACCGCCTGTGTCCGGAAGGTCCCGGGTTCGAGTCGCGGTCAGGCGAGGGTAAGGCTTGCCACTGACACCCTTCCCCAGACTCCGCACAGAGCGGGAGCTCTCTGCACTGGGTACGCCCTTTATCTAAGTTATTATCTTTAGCCTTTAGGGAGTCTTGTTGACTCTGTTCTTCTGATGTTCCTTAATTCAGGAAGTGATGGTCTAGTGAAGTTATGGACAGTCAAGACAAATGAATGCATTGCTACTTATGATAAGCATGATGGGAAGGTATGATATCATTGCCATGCATCAGGGTAGAGTTTTTTTTTCTGTCTCATTGCTGGAGGGGACTCAAAACTCACTATTATTTTTTCCACAGGTCTGGGCATTGGCTGTTGGCATGAAAACTGAAATGGTTGCTACTGGTGGAACTGATTCTGTCCTCAACCTGTGGCATGATTGCACCATGGAAGATAAGCAGGAAGATTTCCGTAAGAAGGCAAGTGAATCCTTCTGTTACACTTTCAGCATAATATATACTCCCTCCATCCCCAAAAGGATGCAATTCTGGAAAAGTGTCACGTTTTAGTATACCAAGTTTGACCAATTATAGATAAAAAAGTATAAATATTTATAATATCAAATAAATATCATTAGATTAATTACGAAATGTATTTTCATAATAAATTGATTTGAAGCCATAAATGCGAATACTATTTACTAGAAACTTGTCAAATGTGAATCACTTTAACTGGCGCGCATACCATAGTTGCATTCTTTTCAGGACAGGTAGTAATTTGCAAACAAGATGTGCTTGCTTTTATGTAATATATATTGCTGGAAGGAAAACTGTGAAATACCTGACGTTAGACCTTGTGTAAAGATGTGGGCTTGTATATCATTGGCATATGATATATCTGTGAGTTTACCATATTCTTGATATATTCATCTTTGCCTCTGTTTGTTGGGTTTAGGGATCTATACAGGCATATGTCACTATGTCAGGCATCTGCAACACTCACTCAAATTCTACATTTGCTGCAGGAGGAAGAGGTTTTAAGAGGCCAGGAATTGGAAAATGCTGTGTCAGATTCTGACTATGCAAAGGCAATACAACTTGCATTTGAGCTTAGAAGACCACACAGGCTTCTAGATTTATTCTCACAGCTTGCCAGGTACTATTTCTTGATTCGAATGAAATCAGCCGCTTTAAATTATTAACATGATGTATACATCATTGGGTTTGCAGGAGAGCTGATGCAGAGGATCCAATAGAAAAGGCTCTTCTTGGTCTTCCAAAGGATGGCCTCCGCGTGCTTCTTGAGGATGCCCAAGTTCTGTCATGTTGCACAGTTTGTTCTTTTTCAGGTATTGAGGAGTTTCTCTCCCACTGATATCCTGGAGGTAATAAATTTTTCCCTCTTCCTAAGGCGTTTTAACATTTATTAAGAATGTGTTCATGGTCTTACAAACTTTTGCTTCTTCTCGTGAGATGATTTGTGCTTTTATCTCTGCAGATCAAGGGCATCAGTGAGCTCCTTGAGGGCCTTATTCCGTATTCACAGAGGCATTTCAGCAGAGTCGATAGACTAGTCTGAAGCACGTTTCTGTTGGACTATACACTGATGCGAATGTCCGTGGTAGATCCAGATGTAGATGTGGTTACAATCAAAGATGAAATGAATGGTTCATCTGTGGAGAACGGTGAACTTGCAGAGCCTCGGCCTGCTTCACCTGTACCAGAGAAGTCAAGCAAGAAGAGAAAATCCAGGAAATCAAGTAAAAAGGGCAAGGAGAAGAAGGTGAAGGTTGCCTCGAGTGGACACAGCAATGATGTCTCTGCTGAAGCCTGAATATCTAGCTGAGAATCTGGTTTTGGTTATGCGTGCTGCCAATTTTGTAGCTGCTGTTGCAACTGACGCCGCCCAATGACAGAGAATCGCATCTGATGTAAATGCTTTTTTTTTTGCTGCGTTTATTAGAAGACCACAGTGCCTTTTTTTTTTAGCTGCGTTTATTAGAAGACCACAGTGCCTTTAAGGCATCTCCTCTCTGTTCCAAATTTCCTTCTCAACTTATTGGAGTGTATGGTTTGCTATCAAAATTTGCGATGCCAAAGGTTTTGGTAAGCAAAAGTTGCTAAAAGTTGGACAAAAATATTTTACATAGATTTGGCAAGCCAAATGTGAGATGTTGCAAGTTTAGGTAGCAAACCAAATGCCTACCAAAAACTTGGTTAATGCATACCGCCTAACAAAGAGGCTCGTTTTGGTTACCTAGATTCTAGAAAATACACATCTCTACCACATAAAATAGTTTCTTTAAATTCTCCGTGAAATATATTTTGAGAACATATATTTATTTGGAGAAATAAGCACAACAAATAAATTCGAAATAAATGGCAGTAAGCACAAGAACACGTCTCCCTTTTATCTTAACAAATTATTAGACAATATAGGTTCTCCAATTATTTGTTGTTTTTAGTACTATATTGCCTCATTACAAGATAGTAAGGATGCCATCAAACCCCTTTCCCTGGAGGTGTTGTTTCGCCATCTTCCGGCCCCAACCGATTGCAAATTGTGCTTCCTCATCACGGGTGACAGCATAATTTTTTTTTCGCCATTGGATCAATGACCATGCGCTGGAGTGCAGTGGCATTGCGAGCAATATAAAGTACAAGATCAAACAGACTCTTGTAGCTGTACACTCCAGTGATCCGAAGCACCTTCAGATGATTGTGTGGCCTCTGGGGCTCTGGGGCAGTATGTCCTCAAGTCCCACAGGATAAATTGCCCCGTGCCATGCCACTCCAGCTGCAAACAAATAATTCCAAAAAGTTTTGATATGGACTAGTAACTATTCATAGATGGCAATTAGCAGAATTATTTCCCATCTAAGAGTAAGCCGCATCATAAAAAGTTAGAAGTCTATTTCAGCCATACAACTCTGAACCCTTTTTTTTCCATCTAACTATCAATACCAGACAAATTTGACCATCTAGCTGGTTTATTTAAAAGGTGGTTTTGTATTATCTGAAAACAATAAAAACTGGCAACTGATAGATTATATTTTTAGAAATATTTTGGTATTAGTTTCATATGGACTAGTAATTATATGTAGATTGCAATTAGCAGAATTATTTCTCATCTAACCACATCATAAAAAAGTTAGGGAAAGTCTATTTCAGCCATACAACTCTAAACCCATTTTTTTTTTACCATCTACCTATCAATACCAGACAAATTTAGCAATCTAGCTGGTTTATTTAAAAGGTGGTTTTGTATTTTCTGAAAACAACAAAAACTGGCAACTGATAGATTATATTTTTAGAAATATTTTGGTATTAGTTTCATATATTTTGATTTAAAATGAATTAGTTATGATTTTTTTTTAAACAAAAAAACGCCTTTGAAACCACCTAGATGGCTAAATTTATGTTCAGCAAGCTGTCCATGGAGGACATTTTTCACAATAGCAGTATAGAAGTGCAAGCTAAACTTTCACAAATTTGAAGTATTCAGTTGCATAAAATGGAAAAAAAAGGTTACGCAACAGCTAAGCCGCCATAACACATGAATGATACACAAACATTATGATGGTATATATAACAAAAACTTCAATGGAACCATGAATAGAATATTGCTGAAGAGATAACTTACATGCAGTTCCAGTTCTTCCAAAACTGGAGCCAACTCCAAAAGGTAAGCAAGACGAATAATACCACCAGTGTGCTCATCATGATGTCTAAACATCTCCATGGTTAAGACAAGATGCTTGAGGTTGAAGAACACGGTAGGGCATTTTGTAAATTCTTGCATCTGACACATGAGGGCAGTCATTTAGAGAATCTATAATTAAAGCACATGAAAACGTATTAAATCTCCATTAGCATTGAGCAAACCTTGGTGTTTCCGCACATGATAAGTTCCATGTTGAGTTTCCGCGCATGAGGAATACCACTTGGAAGCACTGTGAAGGCATGGTTAAAACAATCAGACGATGCTAGCAGCGCAACAGTTGCCTCTGCTAGGGCCAAGCATCCATTGAGCACAATTGCCATCGGACTGTCGTGAAACTTGAATACATCAAAGTTTGGAACTTGGATCTCAACCTTTCGCATCCCTTCGCAATGTTGCACGCGCAAGTAGCGCAACCGATACAATGGCTGCGACGTTTGCAGGCCGTGCAGGGTACAACGCACGATGCTTAGCCACTCAAGAACGGCACACTCTGGCAACAGGCACTGGAGATGTCCAGGGACCGACACTCCGTCGAGCTTGAGCTTCTTGAGATTTGTGAAACATGAGGCACAATGATCTAACAGAAGAACCACTGGAACCGCTGAAATTATGCAGCGGAAAGATATACCTGCTGTCATGGTCATCGCCCCAGGACCCCCGAGAGAAATCAAAGATAAGGTACCTCGCTTTCGACTTTGCAGCGAAGCTAACCCATCTATCAACATGGCGGGTCTGTCGTTTGCGGAGCTTGAATCTAACTACAAACTTTTTCAGAATGGTAGACCTTAGCTGACGCAAGACACTGTTAACATTGCTGATGAACCTTTGTGTCGGTTCCTGACTGCATTGCTGCCGCTGCTGAACATCGTCTCCCTAGTGAACACCAGGTTCTCGTAGCATCTCCAAAGGCGTCGCCACTTACGAGACAGTATGCTCATTCGAGCAGCTTCTTTGAACTCCAGCCGTGACAATACATCACTTAGGATATCCTGTGGAGCATAGCGTATAACTCAGTCTCGACCAAAATCAATGTCCAGAAAGGAGAGGAGATTCGATAGGACTTACAGGAGGCAGATGCTGAAGCCGCAGAGCCTTGACTCTAGTCTTGTTCTTAGAACCGTTATTATCCATGTAGCCTTCAGGAGCCGGATGCCACTTTTTTGCTTTTATAATCCGCAGCGGATATCAAAAATCAAAACTTTAGGACAAATTAAACTTAGTAACCAATAAAAGAAGAATCGTACAAAATGTGAATAAGATCAGATTCGATTGGAGAAAATTTCCAACCTAGCTTTGATTCAACTACACGGGAGACGGGACGGGGACGCGGGATGGAGATTGGAGGCGTTCTGTCGTTGCAGGGAACAGAGAGTGGGCTCCGCGGTGGCGCTGTAGCCTGAGGGCGTTGTGGTTAAGGCGCTGGTTGTGGTCGGAGGGTCGGGAGACGACGGTTCCGAGGCTGTCGTGGTCGGGCGGGTAGGCGAATTTTTATTTTAATTAACATATTTCAATCAATATTTTAAAAATAACCTATCCAAAAATTATTTCAGACCTAACCCGTTTTGCTCGCGTACCACGGCCAAAGCATGTTGTGTACTACTCTCTCCGTGAGATGCATGCCTGTCAAATGAGTGCTGAGGCCATGTTCGCTTCTCTTATAATCCGTACTTTTTAGCTTATTTTTTTAGCCGGAATAATGTTTTTCTCTCATAACAAATCAGGCGAAATAGTGTTTCGGTTTGTTTTTTCAGCGAAGCGAACGGGCCATAAGCGTCTTAGGTCGGACATAGCGAATCGTCGGACGCTCTCATCGCTCATTGTTTGTGTTTTTATCTCGCCACTCGCTCCATCCATGAGTTTTTTTTAAAAGTTTACCCATCCTTATCCCTTTCGTTTCCTGCTCACCTGTCCAGCGCCTTGCGGCTGCCTCGTCCTGGACGCGGACGCGAACTCCCCTCGCTGCTACCGCGCACCCCATCTGCTGCTACTCGCTCACATCCTCGTCACGTGCGTCGCCCGCTCCCTCCCATCATGCCCGCTAGTGCTAGTGGTGCTTGCTCGGCCTGTCGCGCGCCACTCGCCCAGCCAACCCAAGCCCAGTGCTGGTGGTCGCAATGCTCGTGCGCGCCACTGATGCTAGATGCTAGTGGTGCTCACGCCCCGCCACTCGCCGTCGGCTCCCACCTCGACGGTTGGAATTGACTAGCACAGGCGCTCTCCCTTCCTTGTGTTGCAAATATGTATTTCAAGTGTTTCAGACGTTTTAGAGGCATGTTATAGTTGTTTCATTTGAATGTTGTAAAAGTAGATTGGGGGATGTTGCATAGATTGCAAATGTTTCAAAGACATGTTGCAACAGTTTGTTCTAAATTTTTCATCCGTTCCAAACGTATGTTGCAAGCGTTTTGATCTGGATGTTGCATATGTTTCACAAATATGTTGCAACAGTATGTTCCAAATGTTTCATCTGTTTCAGTCTTCCGTTGTAGCAAGTGTTTTCATGTTGCAAATTGCAAGTGTTGCATATGTTTTCACACATATGTTGCAAACATATGTTGCAAGTGTATTTTCTAGATGTTTTAGCTGTTTCAGACGTATGTTGCATTCAAGTGTTTCATGTTGCGTGTGTTTCATGCTGTTCAGAGAGTCAAGGACGCGGGGGAGTGATGGTGGTACGCAGCAGCGCCGAAATGGGCGCGACGAGCCGGTGGCCGATGGACGTGGCGCACGGCGCACTGGGGGCCGATGGTCGGGGGCATGACGGGGCGGGGCGAACGGATGGGGATGGGATGCGTGGATAGGGGCGGGTTGAATCAAAGCGGACGCCGTGGATTGCGAGCGACTTGTACGAACGCGATGATGGCGCGATGCGCATGCGGGCAGGGTGAAAGCTCTAGTTTAGTTTTGGTTAATTGATGAAACCCTAAGTGCTAACCTAGTTTATCAAGTGATCATGAGATATGTAGCAATTCTAAGTGGTGAAGCAAATAAAGATCATGCCATTATGATAGTGATGCCATGGTGATGATCAAGTGCTTGGACTTGAATGAAAAGAAGAAAGAGAAAAACAAAAGGCTCAAGCCAAAGGTATAAATGGTACGAGCTATTTTGTTTTGGTGATCGAGACACTTAGTGAGTGTGATCCGATTTAGGATCGATAGCCATACTATTAAGAGGGGTGAAACTCGTATCAAAATGTGGTTATCAAAGTGCCACTAGATGCTCTAATTTATTGCATATGCATTTAGGATCTAGTGGAGTGCTAACACCCTTAAAAATGTTTGTGAAAATATGATAACACATGTGCACAAGGTGATACACTTGGTGGTTGGCACATTTGAGGAAGTGTGAAGAAGATAGAGGTGAAAAGAAGTTAGTCGCGCTGATCACAGAGTGACCGGACGCGTCCGGTATTAACGACGAACTCAGTGACCGAACGCGTCCGGTTGCCACACCGGACGCAACTGGTGTGAATCAGCAAAGTCATTGTTCGGTGAAACAGTTGATCGGACGCTGGCAGCGTCCGGTCTGGAGTGACCGAACGCGTCCGGTTGGACCTGGGTGCTTGCTGGACTCGACTGGACGCTGAGGCTCAGCGTCCGGTTAGTTTCTAGCAGACGCGTCCGGTCGGCCTCGGGTACTCTCTGGACTCGGCCGGACATTGTGGCTCAGCGTCCGGTCATTTCTATTTCAGCATCTGGTCTGAGCGTCCGGTCACATGTAAGTGTGGGAAACACGGCTACTATGATTTGAACTGGACACGTGGTGGTCTGAGAGCGACCGGACACGTCCGATATTCACGAACGATGCGTCCGGTGCACTCGAGCAGCGCGTCCGGTCGATGCGCAGTCAGCCCAATATTTGAGTCAACGGCTCTATTTCGTGGGGGCTTCTATTTAAGCCCCATAGCCGGCTCTAGCTCACTCTCTTGGCCATTTGCATTGACATAGCAACCTTATGAGCTTAGTCAAAGCTCTCCCACTCATCTCCATCATAGATTCAACATCTTTGTGAGATTGGAATTGAATCCAAGTGCATTGCTTGAGTGTTTGCATCTAGAGGCACTTGGTGTTCGTGTTTCGCTGCGGGATTCGCTTGTTACTCTTGGTGATTGCCGCCACCTAGACGGCTTGGAGCAGCGAGGATCGTCGAGCGGAGGTTGGTGATTGTCTTCGGCTCCGATCGTGGTGATTGTGAGGGGTTCTTGACCTTTTCCCGACGGAGAGCCAAAAGGTACTCTAGTGAATTGCTCGTGGCTTGTGTGATCCTCATTTTGTGTTGGTTATGCGGCACCCTATTGAGGGTTTGGCGTGTGATGCCAATTAGCGCGTGAACCTCCAAGTGAGTGAATCGCCACAACGAGGACTAGCTTGCCGGCAAGCAAGTGAACCTCGGTAAAAAAATATTGTGTCATCATTTGATTCTGAGGTGATTGATCTTTATTGGTATTCATTCTTGTGATTGATTGGTTCACTCCTCGACTCGACGGTATAACCATCTTGCTCACTCTCTTTACATTACCGCAAACTAGTTATCAAGCTCTTCAGTGTAGCTAGTTGTGAGAGCTTGTTAGTTTGGTTAGTATGGCTCTTTAGTTAGCCTTTGAGAGCACACTAACTTAGTATAGTGACATAGCCATCGTGTGGTTAGAAACTATAGAAACTAGAATTGTGGTAGGTGGCTTGCATTTTTAGTAGGCTAGCTCAACACTTGCTTCGCCTCATAATTGTCCAACCGGTTTGCTAAGTGTTGTTGTATGAATTTTTAATAAGCTATTCACACCTCTCTAGCCATTAGAACTTTTCACAGGACGAGTTAGCGGACGAGGGGCAGGCTATGTAGGCGCGCGCGGGAAATGGCCGTCCGACGGAATCCTATCATATCGGACGTCCGAGCACCAGCACATCTATGCTTGGCAACCTCCTTCATATGCCCGGCATGTCAGAAGATTCCCACGCGCCGGACTATCTTCATCCTCTACGGCACGCTCGACGTCGGCTTCGTTGCCATGACGTTCTTCGGAGTTATCTGTGAGCTGCTCAGCGGTGTGCTCTCCTAGGCATTCCAGATCCCTGACAAGTCCCTCGGTCCTCACGTGAAGATAAAAAGCAACAGAAGCTAGTAGATTAAAGAAAAGGAGGCATGCATGCACATATAACACCAGACGTGGGTTTGCACGTACGGCCAATTAGCATGTTTGGCCACGTCTATTCCTATTCGGCTCAGTTGATAATATATATGGCTATATAGAATCCGTGCCTGAAGGAAGAAGGAGAGAAGCTGGCCTCACGCGTGTTCAGCATATTTGCATGTTCGGCTAATCAATGCATATGTACGTAACCAAGTATGATTAGCCGTGCATGAGTAATATATCGCGTGGAGGTTAATGGTGTTGTATGCTCGGTTAATCACACGTGGATGTGCACGTGGAAATTATTTGATACTTGAAGATGGAGCTCATATGCAAACAGCTGATCTCGCCCAGGGATTCCAGGAAGCCTTATTTGGCAACAAACTATACAAGGTGCATCATGTACGTACAAGGAAGGAAAATCAGAATTGTTTATTTGGGAATCGGATATGGTAATGCATGACGAAGCAAAGGCATGCGTCAAACAACAAGCAACACCATGGGCAGGGACAGCAGCCCAGAATTATCGGTGTCCGACTGAAGCTCAGAGATCGAGCAACGCGACGAGTGCTGCTCATCGTTGTCCACACTAAGCCTTATCGGCACAGTGGGTAACCTCGGCCGCACCGTGTCCACGACCTTCTCGGAACAGTGCAGCAGCGTCGACGTCCACCGCAGCAGGATGATCGAGCCGACCGCCGATGTAGCTGAGTTCATCGGCCGATTCCCAGCGTCTGTTGCCATGCCCCTTACGGCTCAGCTTGGAATCCCACGCCGACGTTTTTAGACTGCCGATCCACAGTTAACAAGATGGATATTTTCTGACAAAAGAAGCACCACCAACGCAGTGACAGGTGCTGGAGCAAACACATTATATGTTCTTGTCATCGTTCACATCCTGGTCCAGCAAAGCAGCAGATACCACACTAGGGTGGATGGTTAGTTATTTATTGATAGTTAGATAAAAAAAATAGTACATATTTTAGGCACATATGTATGA